TATTAGCTTTGCCTGGTCAATGTATTAGTTTAGCTTGAGTTAAAATCTTGTTTAATTTGCTCTTGTTTAACTTTGATGTTGTGAGCATCATCCACCTTCTCTGAATTGTTGTAAATAAAACCAAAGCTGAGCTAAGCAAAGCTTTTTGGAACTGGATGAACTGAACCTTTAATCTTGAAAGTGCTTGCTTATAGCAATGGATTTGCAGTGTAAGCCTTGACATAAACAATGTTATCAGTGATTTGTATGTCACATAAAACTGTAATGAGCCTGAAAGCACTTTGAAAGGTCATCTTCAAACTGGGTTCAATTCAACCTCAGGCTGCCAATACTCTCTCGATAGGACAACAAGAGCTTGCTAATGGCTGTTGGCAGGCCGTAATGCTGTTACCTACTTGCTGCAGGATCCTGCATCTCCTGTCTTATTTATTATAATTCTGCTCAGTTTCCAGCTCCTAGCTTAGCACGAAACACTCCGAGAGCCCAATAAAATAGTGACCTACAGCTTGCTCTGAACTTTATGGCCATAAAACAAACTCTAAATACACTGGCGCTGTGGAGTCAGGAATTACCACACTGCTGCTAGACACATTATCTCACACATTCAGTAACACACACACACCCTGTTGCAATTCTTGTCTCATACAGGCTGATAAGAATTAATGCAAGCACACACTCTTGAAGCACTCGAAATTGAAGGCACATGGAATAATATGTCAACCCTCAAGACATGGACTGCAACTGCATTCATTTGTTTAATTGATTTGTGTGTGTACTTTTTTCCTACCTTTGCCGTGGTAGCCCCTTGGTGTTCTATCACAGTATGAATTGCACTCAATACTACAGTATCAGTATACATGCACAGCTGTTTCTGCACTTACATATTTTTCTCTCTAGGGAAACCAGATCCTGAGCGGTCTCTCCCTGGACGAGTACAAGACCACTCTGAAGATGATCAAGAGGGCTATTCTGGCCACCGACTTGGCCCTGTACATGAAGTAGGTACCAAACATCAAGGCCGGATGGAAATCTGACTGAAGAGGGATAGAGATGGCGAGCATTAAAAAAGAATGGTCAATATGGGCAGAGCAGGGGAAGGAAACGGAGGTTATAGTGGAGTATTTTAATAAACTGGGTGATTACATTCAGTGAACCCTTTTCAAAATGGCTGTAGTCCTCTTTCATCTCAGCAGTACAGCAAAGATCAGACACATCTCATCATTCCAGGATGCAAAATTTTGTCTCTTAAATTACTATAAGGTATTCTGTTTAAACTTGAAAAAACATCATTTAAAGTGTACTTTTGTGAGAATTTTTTCCTAAATGTTCCCCTTACATCAGAATTTTCTTGGAGCTATTTTTTATCTGCAGTCCCAGGACAGGTCACTATTAAGATATATTCAAAATGTGGCATACTACTGATGCACAGCAGTACACACACAAGACAAAGAAAACATCAAGCAGTGTACGTTAGGTATATGAAAAACAAATGTGTGTTTGCAATGCCTAAATGCTGAGCTAGTAGTTATAGAGTTGAATTATAGCTTATAGCAAAATGTTTTAATTGGGTTTTAAAACTACTGATTCAGCTACAACTCAAGGCTTCAAGGCCTTTGAAGCAAAAGTGACCCCCCAGCAAGCGACCAGGGAACCGGAAAGACAGAGGACTGGGGGGTTCCGAAAGGCTACAGGAAGAAGTTGTTGCTCAAGCGTGTGTCCTTGGAGTGGGTGCTGCTCAGGTGGCGACCATGGAACCAGACATGAAGCTGACACTGCTCTGGAAGGCAGCTACGTCGAGGCCAGTCCGGTAGCAGAGGCCATTCGGGATGGTGGCCACAGGACCAGGCAGGGACCTAAAACTGCTCAGGATGCCAGTGGTGTGGAGAATGACAATGTAGGCGGGAACCCTCTGGAGAACGGTGACTTGAGGCCGGCCTCAAAAACAGTGCTGAGTAGGAAGCAGGGGCATGGCACAGGATGCAGGGTAGATAGATGACCACAGAGCGAGGCCAGCAGACTGGTGACTCATCGGTGGCTCCAGTAGACAACTGTTTGTTTGCATACTGAGGAAGGACTGTTACCCAAAATGTCTTTTTTTTTTTTTTCTCTGAGGACTCCAAATTTAAATCTGGATTATTTGTCATTTTTGAACAGCATCCCCAGTGATGTATTGCTGGATACACACATTAGCCTACTAAATGGAGGATGAAAAATGTTGGTGTTTTATAGTAGCTATTTGCATGGTCCTCTTTCCAGCATATTTCTATTTAATTGTCTTCTCTTCATTTCTTCTTAAACTATCTTCTCTTTCTTCACTCCTTCCTTCTTCTTTCCTCAGTGATTTCAGCTCTTATCTCAACCCTCTTTCATTCTACACAGTGGGTGGCTGAAGAGGTAAACAGGTTATATTATGAACATAATTATCTGCTCTGTCATTGTGCGTGTTTGTCTGTGTGTTGCCAGGAGGCGAGAGGAGTTCTTTGAGCTCACCAAGAACAGCCAGTTTGTTTGGGAGAACGAACATCACAGAGACTTACTGAGGTGAGTGCAAATCCTCCAAAAGTCACAACACGTGATGTGAATGCAAAACACCAGCATATACTGTACATCAACAACACGCTTTGATTTTCATGGAATAGTTCAACATTTAACAAACACTCATTTGCTTTCCAAGAAAGAGATAGCAAAAAGACTGGTAGCAAAGGGAAACAGCTAGCCTGACTCAGTCAAAATTGTCAAAAATATACCTGGCAACACCTCTAAATTTCATGAAGTAACATGTATCTTGGTCATTTAATGTATAGTTTTAGGAGGAGTTACATCCTGGAATTATTTATCAGTTGATGTACCGACTGTAGTGTGGGTTGCCAGATATGGCGGGAGACAACAGCATGTGTGCAAGATTGACACAATTACTGCACCTGGCTGGTGTTTGCCACAAAATAGTTCCAGCACATAAACGTTGTTGCTGTTTTCAATTGAAAGTACCAGCGGTCTGGCCAAAAAGTGGTTAGATTACTGTAAGTCATTTTGCATATTTGTGATGCCGTAACATCTTTAAAAATAAAGCATTATGGAATGCTTTTTGGGGAAAAACAGTTGTGAGAAAGTCACTAGGTTAGCTGTAAATCTGTGTGCTATGAAATTAGTTACTTTATACAAATCTGCTGCACAGATTGTATATCTTCTGTTTATTAAGCTGAATTTTAAAAGGCTGTGCATGAGCCATAACTTTACTCTCCTATAATTCTCCAAACAGAAATTTCTTTTATGGTTACTGAGCTGCAGTTAGTGATAATAAACACACAAAGCATGCTCATGTTTGATGTTCAGCACCATGAATGTACTTGCTTTGATACGATATGAGCATGCTATGAGGAACAAATTGCCACCTGGTGTGGGTGTGTTCAGATCAGTGTCAATGTGTCTCCCCCTTCAGGTCAATGTTGATGACTGCATGCGATATCTCAGCCATCACCAAGCCCTGGCCAGTGCAAAAAAGGGTATAAAAAACTATCACCTTTCTTATCTATGTGTGCATCTTATTTGTGCTGCAGTTATTTTTTTTTGTCCTTTTCTAGTATACAACATTTTTTCTGTCTTCTGGTTCCGGAGCTAGTTTCTCACAGCTCGTCTTTCTCCTCCATCATTAGCTGTGCAATGCTATTAATCTATATACAGCATGAAAACCAACTTCCAGAGAGCAAGATAAACATAGTAAACATTTATTTGGTTTTGTTAAACTTCTCTGTTATTGTGACTGGGCTGCTTTTTGCCACAGTGGCACAGTCCACTCTGTCTACTGTCCTTTGACACAGGAACAAATGGAAGTCAATTCAACACACTGTGCCAAAACATTTAGAATTTAAAATAACAAAACAATCTAAACTAAACTGGATGGACTGAATGACATTACTATTAAGCTGATTTTTTTTAGCCACCTACTACAGCTAATAGAAACATTATCATTCACTGGGAGTTGTGTTTTATAATTCCAATATTAATTCTCTCTTAAATCTGTTTCGGTCATCATCAGTTCTTTGGCTGTTAAATGTTCCGCTATGTTCACCTGCTAGTTACTGACTGTGTCATGTGCTGTTTAAGTGCTGGGCACGTGTTATAGAGTGGGTTTTGGCAGCTTGCCACAGAAAAGAGCTGCCTGCTGCTACTGACAACAGGGACTGGAAAACCAAAACAATGAGCTAAAAGTGAGTAAAATGCTCTCTAGAAAGGAGGGATACGGCAAAGATGGTGATAATTCTTTGTGGATCCGTCACTATAAGCACCACCATTCACATCACACTTAGTCAGATTATAGATTAGTGCAGCTTTAAATGACAGCAAGACCTTCAGTGGCTAAATTTCTGCTGCAGGACAGAGGCCAGAAGACTGCTGCAAATGTTCTCACTGTGGGACAGAACACTGTCACATATTATACTTTGGGTTACATCCCAATCAGTGATGTTACTGCAGATATTTTCCCTTTGAAAAATAATGAGAAGTAATGAGAAATACCTGCTGTGAGTATAGCCTTATAGGTGCAACATGCCGGAAGGCCTTTACCCAGAAAATGCAGTGCAGCACTTTGTGTTGTTATTTCACTCGCTGTGTCTCAATCTGGAGTCTCTCGCTTCTCATTGTATTTACTTCTTAATGCTTTCTCTCTCTCTTTCCTTATCTCTTTCTCACACACACAAATATGTATTTGCTTCATCCTTCTCCTTACCCATCAGAAAGCTGTGTCCCCCATCCCCCATTGTTTTATCTCCCCGGTGACCTTTGTTAGTCTGCACCTCATTAGGACCCACAGGCACAGTGCGAGTAAACTCTTCAGACAGGCACGCTCTTGTGTGCGCATGTGTGTGGCTCTGTCTGTTGACAAGTGAGCGCTCATTAATAAAAACAGCTGCGCCCCTGTCCTCAGATGACACCTCTAAAAACATTCAGGCAGTAAACATGCACACACATGCAAATACATCCTTTGACTAACACACTCACACTATCACTGCATCCGGATCTTATTAACAAATAGTGCCTCTGATCTCTGTGTTACTTAAAAGATGTGCATTTTGATTTGCATAAGATTTAAGATTAATTTTATTCAGCTATATTCAGTTTGACATTTAGCCAGTCTTAGAAGCCAAAACCATCAAAAGCTAAACGGGTCGCAATGTCTTTTTTCACTACCATTGGGTGTTTGATACCTGTTTTAATATAGTTTTACAGTATATCGCCAGCTAGTGTTTATAAATGCCATTGCAAATGGGACTCAGCATTTGTGAACACCACTCTATACGCTTGCACAGCTGCCAGTGCAAACTAGCGCCTGGATTGGGCCCCATATTTTTGTTCAAACCTGACCCGAGTCCACCTGAACCCAATAAGCATATTGTATTTCCTGTCCGAACCCTAAACTTTGAACTATGTGACTGAACCCTACCAGAACAAGAACATGATTTCTAAATTTCTGTCCGAACCCAAACCAAACCTGTCAGGACCTGTCAGTACCCGAGGGTTTGGTTCGGGTATCCACCTTCTAGCATAAACACCGACTGCAGAACGCTCTCTGCTGGCACATGTGCTAGCCATCATTTCGATGAGTTATTATAATCTTTTATGCACTAAGGTTTTTGCTGAGATCTGCCAATAAGGCAACAACACTACAACAACGGTATCATAATGACAGATCTTCTGGAAAAACGACAAAAATAAGAGTTGTAATTATCCAGAATTATCCTTTGAGATTTATGTTCCTCTCAGTCCTTACTTGATCTTTTGCTAACCTTAGATAACTAATGAGCCAAACAGTGCTTGTCCATAGTGGTCACAAACATTTTGCATAAGAGTATGCAAGTAGTCTCCACAGCCAACAGAAACATTTTCATAAATCCAGTAGTAGGTCCGTCCTGCTGTTGTTGGAAGTCTAATGACGCGACCTCTGACTACGGACATTAGTTTGACATGAAGCTAACTTGCTTTCCTAGGAGGACCTAAATGCTCTCCTGTTTTGACTGACATGAAGGAAAATTAAAGAAAAAGTTTCTTAGCCTCACCAGTTACCAAATGCGTCATGCCTATTGTTGGTTTTAGTCGGCTGTAATAAGTTCTCTCTCACTCTGGCTGAGTCCCCCTGCAGCTCCATAGTACTGAGCCTTGATTACAGGCTCAATCAAGAGCTGCATGTGGCTTCAACACACACATAGACACACATACACAGAGTGGCACTGATTGGAGCCCAAGGCTGCAGTCAGGTCTCATTTATCTCTCTGTAAACAGATAGAGCTCATTAACGCTGCATGACTACCATTATTTTGGCAGACTTCTCCCTGAATCTTAACTCTATACATCTCTACTTATACATTCTCTCTTACATTCCTTCCTTCTTGCTGTTTCTTCCATGCTTTTGTTTTCACTAGCACATGTTCTTCCTTGCCTTCTTGGTGTACATTTCTTGCTCTTCCTTGCTCTTTTCCAGTCATTTTCCAGTCTTAGTTTAACACTGTTGATTCTGGCAACACAAAACCATTTTGTCATCATCTTGGTAGGATGTCCCAACCTTATTCCTCAAATCTCCCTCCAAGGATGTTCATTACAATGCCTTCTCTGAAATGTACTAACATGAATAAGCCAGAGCATTTTCGAGGTTTAGTATCACAGAACAGCAGCAGGGGGACTTGCATAGTTAAAATGCCATACAGATGGAGTTGGATCCAAATCAAAGTTAGCTTTTTATAGTGATGAGAGAAGGTGTTTTCCTCAGTGCATTCCATTAATCATTTGCTTCTGCCTGTAGTCCCACATGTATAGTAACTAGAAAACCATCAGTTAGTTGTAAAATGCATTTGCAACTAAAAGTTTTTGATGTATTTCCTGTTTGTTATGTTGTTGTTTTTTTGCCAACTGAAAGTTCACTTAATTTTCATATAAGTACATTAACTGATTTCTCTTGTGAGACTCCAAACAAGCTGACACGTCCTGTCTCCTAGCAGCAGTGTAAACTATGGATGCCTGGTTGGGATACTGTACAAAATGCAGCCACCAGTTCGAACACAGCTACCTATTAACGAGTCTCAGCTCTGCGGCAACATTGCAATGGCACAGTGTCAGGTGATGAGGTTGGCAGTGAGGAGAGCACTAATGTTACACAAAGCTCACATTTCTTCCAAATTAAAGTCATATTAATACAACACAAAAGCATAATCACAACCATGCTAGGTCAGTAATGTTACCAAAACAGACAAATTAGCTTTAGATGCTAACAAATCTGAAGGAAGAGTATCACATCTCAGTCAAGTTTGAGTGCTTTGGCTGTTTTTAACGCTCTCCATCTCAATAAGTCAAACCGATGTTAACCCTGGTTTTTGTTCTTTCTTTGCCCCACTCTCTCTGTGCAAAAGAATGTGAGCTCTTTGTTCCATCCTGTTTTGGACTTTCACCAGACGAGAGCTCCTCCGTGACTGCTGAAATGACAGCTTGCATTTGTAAAATGCTTCTTATAACCTTACTAGGTGGCAGGCAGGACTAATTTCTGGACCGACTACCAAAACTCAGGACAGAGAATCAGGAATAACAGCAGAAGCGCTATAGGCAGCAGAGTGTCATGGAGGGCGGTAGTATAGCTGAGAGACGTCCCACATTTAATGAGTCTCTTCTCTCTGATGCAGATTGCAGAGCTGGTGGCAACTGAGTTCTTCGAACAGGGCGATAAGGAGAGGCAAGAGCTGAACATTGAGCCTAGTGTAAGTGCTGCCCCGTCCAATGATATGGGGCAAGACCTCTCCAAAGATGTTTCCAAATATAACATCATTACTGATTAATCGTTTTCGTCTCCAAGCGATTGCTGGTTCTAGCTTCTTAAGTGTTAAAAATTGCTGCTTTTCTTTGTTGTTAATGATGAAAATGAGAAATCTTTAGGTTTTGGCCTTTTGGTCATAAAAAACAAGCAGTTTGGAGACATCACTTTAGGCGCTGTGGAAACCGTGATGTGACATTTCCTTCACTAAATGATTACTTGAGAGAATATAATTGGCAGATTAACTGATAATGAAAATAAATGTTAACTGTATGTCCACCTTCGGTCTGGTTTTAAGTCATAAATCAGAGAACATGTGAGAGTATCCAATAAACTTTTTAGAAACTTGGAATGGCTTCCAGTTGCTGTGGCCTTTCTCCTTGCCATAATCTGTCAATGTAATGTGAGAAATGCCATTTAAAACATTTGCATTCTTCTAGTGTATTTTACATGTTATTTGTTCTACCCTTTCACTTTAGGACCTGATGAATCGTGAGAAGAGAGATAAGATTCCCAGCATGCAGGTGTCTTTCATTGATGCCATCTGCATTCAGCTATATGAGGTAATTCAGCTAGTGTAACTCACAGTTACTGTTTTTGTTTCTGACACCACTGTACCATACCTCATGAATAGCTGGAAAATAGAATGGTTTTATTTGTCAGTGTATAAATGTACAATGAAATTGTATAATAAGTGCAACCACTAAATAAATAAATAATAAGCGCAAATAAAAGACAAAGGGTTAAAAAAACAGAGACAAAACACACGTCAACAACAGCGACTCACATGATGTCTCACAGCATAGAACAGTAAAAAGAAAAAGGTGGCAATGGTGGGCATTCATCCTGTTATTTTCAACTTGATGTTGGGATACTGTCTCACACTGTGAAAAACTTGTGGAAATGTGAAACCTGATGTAAAATGAATGAATATCATATTTTAAAGCAATACTCAGTCAGTTCATCTTGTTAAATAACATGTCTTTGTCACTGTCACAGACCTTGGCTGGCATGTCGGAGTACTGCTCCCCATTGCTGGAAGGATGTCAGAAAAACCGGCAGCATTGGAAGCATTTGGCCGAGGAGTGTGAGAAGGAGCTCAACGGCCTGGTGTGATCCCAAAGCCAGTTTGGCTTTCAACCAACACCAATTCTCAAGGTTCTCTCTGTCTACCCTGGTCTCACAAACGTTTGTGAAAATAGCATGATGTGCGAAAAAAACAAATACCACCAGTGAAAGGACAGGTTACAGTTGCCTTCACCTTCAGCAGTTTTAGAGCAAGACTTAGGTCCCAACGTAGGCCAAAAGTCTTTTCTAACCCGTGAACAATAACTCTAGTTACTTGCTACTTGGGTCTTATTTTAGTAGGTCTGTCCATCCTTCCTATTTGTAGTAGCTGAGCTGTACTCAATTGTACTGCTAAGATGTGGAAATGTGGCAGCATCATTAAACTGGACTAAGAGCTAAATACTAACATAAAAATATTCACAGGGTTTGTGCTATCGTGTTGATTTTAAGGTACATGCCATGACACATACATGGTGACATACTGTATAATGTTCACCATATTGTTTTGGCATGTTAGCATGCTAAAATTTTGTAACTAGAGCTAAACACAAAACACAGCTGCTGATGTCATTAGTTTTGCATGCATTTAGACATTAACCAAAGGGAACGTCAGGGGATCTCCAACATTATTACAGCTCATGATGGAACCCAGAAATGTCAGTACAGATTTCCTTACTTTGCGTCACCCAGAAATTATTTCAGTTTGGACAAACGTGGTGGACCAACAGTCAGGTATGCCGCTATAGCATGGCAAAACATTTTCTACAAGCCAGAAAACAGAGCAGTCAGATAACCTGGTGGTATCACAGGCTACTAGACTCAATGTACATGTAGTTCGATGCAATGATTCAACTAGCAAAACTTTCTTTACAACCTGTCTGACTGCATTTCATACTGGACTTTGATTAAGATTGATTATTATTGAAGGGTGTTTTGCCTCCTTCTCCCCAGATCTCAATAACTTCAAGTACATATTACAACAGATGGCCAAAAATAATAAAATAAGACCAAACTGTTATATCACTTCCCATAAAACTCAGTTTAGCTGTTAGCTAACTCCTGTGACAAATAGGTGAGAATATCGTGCAGTTTAGTGTCCACAGCATGTCATCGCTGTTTCAGAGATCATGCTCATTTCCACAAACTTTGTGAGACTTGTCTTCCTTTCGTCACCATTCTATCATAGCTGTCACTCATCAGAGACAATAACAGAATCAGCACTAAGCTATATTTATTTCAATAGCTATTTTGTATTGTTGCACAGTGGCTTTCATCTTGAAGTCTCACCTACACTATCTCTGACAGGTAGTATGTTTTAGGGGAACACTGAACAGTAAGACCTGGCTCCCTAAGGACCAGCACCATTACAGTGGGACACAGATATTGTACTTACTACATACTTCACATAGTGTCACAATAATCTGATTGTTAAATATGTCTTCATTAATAGCACACACACTACAAAGGTTTGAGTCTTTTGTAATATTTTTTCACTCATTGTCTTAACTATTGCATATTTATTTTTGTTTTATATATTTATTAGAGCTTCTATATTGTTGTAAGATCATCCTTTTGTCAAGAGCACACAATTCTTTATACGTGTATACAATGTCGTTTTCATACTTAAAAAATCCTATTTCTGCTTCTATGAAGGACCTTTCTGAGGAGCAACTCTTTTAGATGACATTTGGAAATGAAGTATATTTCATTTTGAGTTTTCTGTCTTCTTTAAAAAACGGTACAGTAGCCAAAGACTAGGCTTGCACTTTCAGAAGGAAATGGGTCTAGTTTTTTCCATTGCCTTGTTGTGATAAAACAGGACCACTTCACAATTAAAAGAATCTCTCTGCACCCACTGAAACCTTTCCCCTGTGAGAGGCAGTTTTGTTACGTATCATTTTTATAACTGAATGATGGAGCAATGTTTGTGTTGTGGGCTGGCTGACCAGAGTGCATTGTGATTTACTGCTTTGACATCATGTGTTGTAGGCAACAAAAGAATATAACTGAACATTTCTGAAGACTAACCAAACAAAACAATTTGAAGATAATCTCAAATGTTAGCTGTTTAAGAGCTTTGCCTTAATACAGTAAAGTCCTTCAATCAGTAACTATCCATTCAGAGAATTACTGAATGAGACACTGAACCCCCCAAGTTGCCCCCCGATGGTTAGAGCCATTGGTTGAGTTGGCACCCCAGATGGCTGCCTCGGTTCTGTACCAAATTCCTTATGTGTAATATACTTGGCCAAATAAAGGTGATTAACCTTATCCTTATAACTCTGACCATTCAGTGCCAACATTGGGTATTTGATAGTTTTCCATACTCTGAAGACAGACTATTTGATACAAAAAGCGTCATGGTACAATGCCACACTCCATAACCTGTGATGAGGGGTCACAAACAGACAATGCTGCAATTTAAGGGGAAATTGTTGGGAACCACTACTATACAGAATAGTGCAGCAGTAGTTTTCAGCAAAACCGTGAGCATATTTACCCAACAACTTCTGTCAACACTCCCTCCAGGAAAAAATGAACCCTTATACAATCCAGTGATTCAGCTCAGTGGCAAGCAGCAAAGGGCTTCTGCTGGATATACAGTGGCAAGAAAAAGTATGTGAACCTTTTGGAATTTCATGGTTTTCTGCATTAATTTGTCATAAAATGTGATCTGATCTTCACCAAAGTGAGGAGTACTGATGAATATAATGTGCCTAATATAACACCCAAAAATTTTGATCTTTCATGTCTTTATTAAGAACAACCATAAAAGCCTCATAGTGCTAGTGGAAAACGTATGTGAACCCTTGATTTAACGACCTCAAAAAATCTAATTGGGAGTCAGGTGTTAGCATACCTGGAGTCTTGTTAAGAAAATGAGTTTGGAGGTGTACTTGACTGAGAAAAACCACTCAAACCTTTTGAGTTTGGTCCACACAAGAAGAATATGCCATAAAGTATGGTGGAGGAAACATGCCAGGAGAGCCCAGACCTCAACCCAATAGAGATGCTATGGAATGACTTGAAGAGAGCCATACATGGGAAACGTCCAAAGAATATGATGGAGCTAAAGCAGTTCTGCCCGGAAGAGTGGGCTAAACATTATATTAATCTGTACTCTTGACTATGATGAAGATCAGATCACATTATATGACAAATTAATGCAGAAAACTATAAAATTCTAAAAGGTTCACATACTTTTTTTTGCCACTTGTATGCCAGTGTGTGTGTTGTCCACTAAAACCCAGATTTTATCATCTGCTTTGAAGTACACAGCCATAATTTTTGTAATTACTAGTTTTTGCTCAGTGTATAACAGGGGTAGAAGGGTTATGATTATCCATGAGGATTTGGTCATTTACTGGCGCATTTAATTCCCATCATTTGGAACAGTGCTCTGTATGCACAGTAACAGGTGTCACCTGGTGCATTTTATAAACAGCCACAAAAAGCCTGGTCTTAACTAAAGCACTTTTGTAGATGCACATTCTCAGAAAGCTCTTTTGTATCTGTGGCTGTATTTTGTACTTTGAATAAGTCTCCAGGACTGTGATACGTGACTGTTGCCTAACCTCTGTGCTATCTCCTCACTGCTTCAGTTGCTGGGTTGTTTCAGATTTCTCCTATAGTGATGTTGCATTTACACGAGAGGTCAATACACCAGAGAGAGTTTTTTTTTTATATAGATAAGAGATCTGTGGCTGGCTACGGCAGGGGGGACTGTGTTATGTGCTGATATGGTACTGCTGAAGGTGTTTCACATCTGCAGCTATTGACACCACAAAACACTGTGAGCTATGTAAATGGTATGTCCCATTAAACAATAATGCTTATACTGATGCCTATGTGTTCTGTATTTTATTCTATATTTTTGTATGCACGTGCACTACAAGCCAGCTAGTGGCTCACTCATCAGCACCCCTCTGCCTTCCCTCACAGACATCTTCAACACCCACAGAGCCATCAGCATTGCTGATGACACCTCCCACCCCGCACACTCCCACCTCAGACTCCTGTCTTCAGGCCCACTCCACCAGACTTACAAACAGCTTCATCCACCAGGCTGTGAGGATGCTGAATGCTGTCCATTACCTCCTCCCCTCTGCCCCTGGACTGTGACCCACCACAGAACATAAAGACTACCTCTGCTGTTTTACACAAACCCAGTACATTCCCCACATGTAAATCCGCTGCTGACTGGTTTTACCATCATATCTACTGCTGTTGGTCATTTGCACTACTGTCCATGTGCATCTCAATCTCACAACCATCTGACAATCTTCTTGTTACCATTTGCACTATTGTCACTGATTGTACAGGGTTTGAGTCATAGCCCATTAGGTTGTACCGTTTAGTTTTATCCTAATCACTTTTTCTTATTCTTTTTTAATCTATTTTATATTCTTTTGTTGTACTTAGTTTCCTAAATGGTATTGCATTCAATACTAGGTGAGAGAGAAATGGTATTTCGATTTTCTGTATGTCCTGCACATATAAAGATTTGACAATAAAAATCTTTGATCCCTTTGTATGTTAAGCTGCACTGCCACCTTTTGGTCAAAAACAGTAATATCACAAAAAAGATAGATGGAACCAAATCAAATTTTTAATGACATTTTATAAAAATTTAACATAAACCACAAGCTTCTAAAACAGAGGTTGACAAGAGAAAGGAGAAATAACACTAAGAAAAACAGTCTGCTCCTAATAAACAAATCACTGCTAATGACAAATATTTACATCAGTGTGGACAGAGCAGATTTCCTCCACATCCTTTTCACAAGCTTCAGTCCAGAGAGGGGAAGTGAGAGAACACTCAGGGTACAGGATACTACACAGTATTAAGGTAGTAAGGTAGGACAGGACAGTGTAAAATCTAACGTCTTCTATAAGGGGCAGTGGTTGGTGTATATGTGTAGCTTGGGGTTGAGGTGACATTTAGGCCGAGTCTGTCCTCTTGTACGCCACCATGCTGTTCACCTTGTGGATGGAGGTGGTGAAGGAACGTAAACGCACCTCCTCTGACTGGTTGATAATCTGAGGCCCAGACTCCTCCCACTTCTCTGGAATAACCAGGTCTTTGTCTGTGTAGACCAGGAGGTCAAACGCACCTGAGAGACAGGGCATTAGTCAGAGAGCCAGAAGCGTTAGCCAGCCATCCCACTTTAGATACCCAGAATCCAAACCTGAAACTGAGTCAAATGCAAGTTTGTCGGAATAAGCTGTCTGGTTACTTACATGGTGTCTCGAGCAGAGGCAGGAAAGTAACAGTGGCTGTTATCTGTCTGATGACAGAGCGGATCTCATCCTGAATGGTCTTTATAGATTTCTCTCTGGGTGCACTGGGAAACACAGGAGAGCTCAGTTAAGACACACTTGTGCACGACTATTTTCATCAGTGGAGTAAGACACATTTTGTACTCTACATGGTGTGTGTTCATGATAAAGAACCAGATTTAAACTGATCAATGTGTGAGGCCTGACTGCCATCTGCGGGCTGTGTAATTGAACAGCAACTTGATGAACACACATAGATCTATCGCTTACTCTCAGAAATGTTTCCATTAAATGTTACCCATTTGGGGGAGCTGACCTGCTCTCCTTGGCTGACTTGTCACACTCAATGTCAAACTGCCATCTCTCCAGCACCTCGTTGGTTTCCAGACATGTGATCACCAGCACCAGCTTCTGGACAGTGCACTCAAACAGCCACTCTACAACACAGAACAAGCATGTTTACTGACACAAACACAGAGTGAACAGCCTGAATGGGAACTAATACAATACTGCTCATCTTCAACCGGTACAAAATAGAACATTTGGAATTACACCCAGACTGAGGACTCAAGAAAGTAATACAATGAACACCCAGTTACAAAAGCCCACAAGATGATCAACCACCCTGACCCCAGGTGTGAAATGCCACTGTTAGCATGGAGGCCTGTGAACACTGCCAGAAACCTGAGCACACTGTGAGTAATGCATTCAAGACAGTATGTTACATTTGTCTGGCCTGTAAGTAACAGTTCAATTAAAACTAAAAGGTCTTAAAAAGGTCTCACAGTATAAGAAACAAACCACTGAGGCTACCTTTTAGTTGTGAGACAACATTGGTCAGGTAGCTCTTCAGTTTGGGATCAGTGGTGAGTTGAAGGCTCATGTCATAGTGGGTGACTCTGGTGAATGTCTCTGGAGGATAGATGCCCCGTTGGTACAGGATGCTGTTGATACCGAACGCTGTGAAGTGAACGTGTTAGACAAGGGGAAAATTCAGAGATCATCAGTCAAGTGATTCAGTCAAGCAGCTGACAAACAAGATCCAAAGAGGAGATGGAGAAAAGATCACAAATGAAATAACATATTTCATATCTCAAAATGTATGAACATGGGTTATTAGAAATGAATACATGCAATGTGAGAAACCTATAGTGGAATGAAATATACTGGATAACAAATATAAATTATTCGAAATTAATCTAATTATACTCTATACTGCACTGTGGTACTTGATAAAACTATTACCTTAGAAATCTAACTAGCAGAATGTAGACAAACTATACAGAAGCTAACAGAACCTCGTCCATATGCAGTTCATGTAATCCTGCCATGTTTACCAGAAAAACATACTGTTCCTATACGGTGACCAACAGTTTTCAGGTAACAAGGTCGTCTTCCGGTGAATACAGCATGTACTGTATATAACACAACAATTAGAAACGACCAGAGCATTCAGCTGAACCCTGTCTCCTGTTCCTGACCAGTCAGGTCTGTGGTGAGTTGTGCACATCACTGTGAACGCGTTCTAGCTCAGAAGTGGAAAATGTGACAAAACAAATGACTAAATGAATAAGCGAGAGAAGTTTTTCTAATGATCACTTTGTTTTCCGTTATTCCTGAGTTCTTAGTGACATACTGAGCTAATGTTACACTACACAGGCTCGGTAGCATAATGAGTTAATTGTGTGCGTGTCCGAAAGCGTTCAAAAAGCGAATGGATATTAATACTTACAGAAGAACTCGGCCACTAGCTCTGCACTTCCTTTGAGAGTAATGCCTTTCAATGTACTTGTCATTTTCGTAATACTTTCAACTATATTCTTGATAATGAACTTTTGTTGTATATTTTCCTCCCCTGTATCGGCTTCAACTACCCGCCCAGGCAGTTTGAAATTTGTTAGCTTCAGCTATTGCGCATGCGTGACTGTCTTCGGCGCATGGCTGATGACGTATGAAATTGTGCTTACAAATGAGGGACAGTAGAGGGCAGTGCATGATAACCTCACGCTCAAAGATACGTTAAGTAGTTTTCAGGCAGTTCTTATTTCTTTGACCTTTTAATAGTGGCTTTCTTCATTTTGTTGACTGTGAACTGACAGAATTACTGAGAAACAAGTTCCCTAAGTGCTCATTAGTACATTTGGCCAACGTTTTACTTATTTTCAGTTCAATTCAATGTACTATATTCAACGTTTTACTTACACTTTCATTGTATGAATTTTCAGTTCAATTCAATGTACTATATTATTAGCCATGGTGGAAACTTGTATTTGGCTCCTTGTACCACAAGCACACACTCAAGACACATCTCATTGAAAGACAAACAAAGTAACTTATCACTAAAAACAATATAAACTATCAAATCATATCACTAAAATATATTTTTAAAAACCACTCGTAACAATAATCAGTTTTATTGGCCTGGTGTGTTGGACACATGAGGAATTTGACTGTGGTACAGCAGCTCTCATTGGTATGTACATGTCTTAATGTAAGGCAGCAGTGCGCAAGTAAACAATGTAAGGCTGAGAACAGAAGTAATGTGCAATCAAGAAAAGGAATGTGCATTAGGAATAAAAATAAAGTACTATATACGCACAGTCTGGATTCGACGGATTGATATGTAAAAGGTATATTTACAGGTATTGCACTGGGGTAAAGTATTGCACGGAGGGTTATTGACCAGTCAAACTGTCATGGTGCTAATCAGAGTAATGGCTTGGGGGAAGAAACTGTCCCTGCTGCTTGCTGTCTGTCAGAAAGCTAGTAATCCACTGACAGGTGGGGGCTGGGTCAGTTTAGAGTGGAGGGTGATGGTCTTGAACGCCGAGCTGAAGTCCACAAAGAGTGCCCATGCATAGGTCCCTGGAGAGTTGAGGTGTTGCAGGATATAATGCAGTGCCATGTTCACTGCATCATCCACTGACCTGTTGGCCCGGCAGGCAAACTACAGGGGGTCTATGATGTCCTTCAGGTGGGCCAACACCAGTCTCTCAAAGGACTTCATAACTACAGATGTCAGGGCGACAGGTCTGTAGTCGTTCAGTCCACTGATGGAGGGTTTCTTGGGGACCGGGATGATGGTGGAGTGTTTGAAGCAGGAGGGGACTTCACACAGCTCCAGTGACCTGGTGAAGGTGAGTGTGAAGATAGGGGCCAGCTGAACAGCACACACTTTCAGGCAGGAGGGGGTAATGCCATCTGGGCCTGGTGCCTTTGTGATCTTTTGTCTTTTAAGGTCACACACCATACCATAACCTTCTAACTTACTCCAAATCCTTTTAATCTCCTAAAAAGGAATCATCTCTGATTAGCTTTTTTGTGATTGATGTCAGCACTATTTATAAAATTCAGTTTACTATTAGTATATATTCCTAAATACTTAAAAACACCAACCATCTCCACAGCCTGATTTGAAAGTAGAATTCATGTTGTGGGGCCTGTATGGCTTAAAATACATTCCTTTGTTTTATCCACATTGATCAACAAAGAACCATTCCTCCACTCTATGTACCTGGGCAAAGTAATTCCAATTACTATTAGCAAGAATCCAACCATAGTCATATCATCAGCATACTTCAGGAATTTGACACTACTGTCCTACAGCTGCATATCATTCATATTGACTAAAAAGTAACAGTGCTAAAACACATTCCTGGGGTGACCCAGTGTTAATTAGAATTTCATCTGAATTAACACCATTAAAACAACCTGTCATTTTATTAGCCTTAGTGTTATATTACTGTTCACTCTATTAACACAATAACTGCAAGGTTTTGGAGAATCTATAGCCTACTACCTTCAAAAAAGTAGAATTTATGAATTGAATTTTTAAATTCAAAACATATTCCCTACCACACTAATATAAATTATAATAAATTTATATTTACATGATTATCAATGACATTATTTGTATGTATACATATTTAAACACAGCCTATATTCCCCGAAAATAAACACTCAGTATTACTACAGTATAACCACTGCCTTTATTGCTGTACATACTGTTACCTAGGTTTGATGTAGACGGCACATCAACAAAAAGCACATTTTATACAAAACAGTTTTGTATAATTATTTTAGTCAATTATTTTACAGTGCTCAAAATACTTTTGTTAGATTTTCCATTAATGACAGAAAACAAAAAATACTAAAATTTATTAGCATTATTACAACATTACTTTCATTAATATTTAAAGACCATTTTAGTTCTTCATAGAAAAAAAGGAACAACCATATGATAAAACAGCCCACATGTTAAATATCAGATGCTACCATTGGCTGGTCCACCTGCAGATACTGTTCTTTAAGCCTTGCTCTGCTCTCACCCCACTGCTGTCAGATGAAGTGATGACTATATAAACCCACAGCAGTGAAGTCATCTTTCTAAACATATTTCACAGTCTGCTTCTTGTGCACTGACAGCTCTTTTCTCTCCCTGCCACAGGCATCCTGCCATTCATCAATGGCCAGTCCCAAGGCCCCATGAACATTGTCAAAAAGAAAATGCTGTAACCCCAGAAGGCACAAAACTGAGCTTTGTTTTTCTTAAGCTGTCCAATACAGTCTAACAGCCTCTATGTCTCTGTTGCAGCAGCAGACGTTACCTGGCTTCAGCACTGTGACAAGAGAGAAATACTGTACAAAAGATATGCTCAATTTTTCCATAACAGGAGTGGTGGTGCTGCACAACCAAGGCTAATTCCAAAAGCAACATGCCAGTGCAACAGTGCAATTTACACACTGAATTAAATAAAGTCCTCTGACACTGGTGGAGACATAAAATCTGATTCTTTACAACTGAGGTTGTGTTTTCTTAGTTTTAGCCTCCATTCCTGTGTGACAGTGTTTTAACAACAGACTTAAATCTGCTGCACTTAAGATTTAAAAGTCAAAATATAAGGACTAAATCTAAATCTCATTAGCTGATGTGCTTTGGGAATACTATTTCAAAACTAATGACTAGTTATGTTTATCTACTTTGAATTATCTATACCTGGGCTGTAATACACAGCCACACAAACCAGTGCTGAGCCAGTACATTTACAGATGTGTAAACAGTACTCTAATATAGTTACAGAACATCATGCAAAATTTAATTCCTCAAGCAGGGTTGGTGGGTTTGTAGGCATTTTTAGCTTTGGCCCAGTCTACAGCTATGGGAGCCCAGTGTTACAACAGTGGCTCCAGTCCCAGTGTGAAACCCAGCATCTGTCACTTTAACAAGTCTCTGCTGGTCTAAACTAACACTTCTCTGGTTTTATATTAAAAAGACCTCAGCACCACATGTTTCATAATAGCGACTGTGGGTACTGGCATCAAGCCCTCTCAAAGAAAAGCCTCTTTATCTGTCTGGCATCATGAAAATGATATATCCTTCTCTTGCTTGTTCTCTGTGCTCATAAAAAGCTTTGGTGAGGGTTTGTTTCATTCAGGAAACAAGCCTCAAGTCTAGTTATTCTACACAGGAGAAGTGAGAAATTCAGCCAGTCAGTTCCTTGTTCATCCCGCTGCTCCCTAACCACAGATACAAAAATGTATTAACCTGCAATAAAGTGCTTTTCCTTCATTATATAAAATGGCACCATTAGCACAAAGAAGTACTTAGAATTGCACTGATATTTTTACACTGAGCTTATCAATGTTCTCAAAAGTGCATGAATTTTTTTTGTACATGTTGATATTCATGATGATGATCATGATGATGATGATGATATCAACATGGGGTTAGGTTCAGGTTTAACCCTAAGGAAATAAAAATAATTAATAGGCTAATAGCATTTCAGTTCCAGTATCCACACAGACCTTTAATCAACAGAGAGGCTCATGTTTTTAGTCAGAGCAGAGTTCCATCAGTGAGTTGAGCTCCGTGACTCTGCATGTTTCTTACTCTGGCATGTGATTCAAATCACAGGGTAATGTATGGGGTGCAGAGGTTATATGAGGAAGTCTGAGAGTGAGAGACACCAAATGTTAGCTAGACCCCCTCCTCTGTGTAGTGTGGGACAATCACAGCAGTGTGTACCAGAGCTCACACACAGGAGGAGTTGCTATAACATGAATGAAGAGTAACATCTGCTGGACTCAGTGCTAATATTACCAAGCTAGGCAAACAGCACAGCTGAAAGCTATAAAAGGACATAGTTTAAATGGCTAATGGCTGATACCTAACACTATTTGATCTAACAACTAGATGCAAAAATACTTTTTCCACAAATATGTTCATCGTGTACAGGCAGAGTGCCTCCTTCGCACTATTAGAAGGAATCACCGCGGTTAAATCCTATATAAGGGGCTTTAAAGAGCTTTCAACCCCAGAAATGTAACACCATACACACAGTCAAAAAATAAACTAATAAAGAAATAGTTTTAGGAAAATTTCCTTATTAATTTTCTTTTCTCAAGTCAGACAGGAAGATTTATTCTAATGTCATACCTGGGTGCTAAATATGGAGCTAAAGTCAGCAATTAGCTTAGGATACAGAGTGAAAGCAAGGGAAAAGCTAGGCTGACTTTAGGCTGAGTTCTAAAAATAAGCCCACCAGCTCATGTCTTACTAATTCAGACTTCATCGTATGTCACATTTTAATCAGTGTATTTACTTGCTTGATTTCATTCATTATCTATACCGCTTATTCCTGAATACGGTCACCCTGAACAGGTCACCAGTCCATCACAGGGCTGATACTTAGAGACAAACTAACACACACACTCTCACTCCTACGGGTAATTTAGAGTCACCAATCAACCTAAGCTGCATGTCTTTGGACTGTGGGAGGAAGTCGGAGTACCTGGAGAGAAGCCATGCAGGCACAGGGAGAACATGCAAACTCCACACAGAAAGGCATCGGGTCGGCCCGGGGTCGAACCCGGAACTGTTGTACTTGCTTGAATTGATATTTTCATTCATGTTGCATGTATGCAT